ACTCAACTCAATGAATACTTAAATGGAGTGTCTACTATAGAAATGCCTAGGTTGGAAAGGCTTTTTCATAGAGAACACTGCTGGAGAGTGAGGTTTGTATCTAGGGAAGGGCAACCAGTTGGCTTCCAGGGTAGATAGCCTTGGGGACTTCACCAGGGTCCAGGGCCAGCCCTCAGCCTGCTCCACCTAGAAACCTGACTTTGGAACACAGGGAAAGTGGGTCTGAAGCTACCACTGACTGAACAGTCACTCAGTGTAAAGACTGATGTCTAGAATTAGAATGCCACTATATTATATTTTGATGAGACATGAGCAGTATGCTAAAATGTGACATGCTTAGCACACTAATTTTCAACAGACCTATGTAGTAAGCCATTACTACTACTGGATGCACCAGTCAATGATGGTACAATAAATGGTTGCCATTTATTAAATGTCTACTAGGTGCCGGACAATATATTAAGCACCATTCATGCATTATTTCCTTGAGTCCTCAGAATGACTTTGTGAGGTTGGTACTATCCACTAAGGTTTTCTGTTTGTTTGTTTGTATCAAGGAGAAATGGTTTATAAGACATCAAATTTCAAAATGTCCAGAAGGCACTGTTTGTACATTGTATGAATAGGGGACTACATACCCATAACATCTGCTTCTGCTGTATGGTTTCCTCTACCTCAATCTAAACTTAGAGCATCAATCTCCACCTGTGCTGCCACCAAGTAGAAATGGACTGGTGAAAGATCTCAGCCCCATGCAAGACTATTTCTAAAAGATGGAGTAGAGAAAAATCCTCCCAGTGGACAATGCATTTGGTTGTCCACTTTGTGTGGACTGAGAGATGACCAGAAGTGCAGGTGTGCGTAGGATTCATGGGCAGTGGCTAGTGGTTTGGGTAGATGGTCAGGGATTTGGAAAGAAAAGGATTGGAAGAGGGTCACAAGAGGCCTTTGGGAAGAGATACATGGGTCGACCTCTCAGAATGCTCCCAGAGTGTGAAGATATTTATTTGTATTAGTTATCTATTGTTACATAACAAACCATCCCAAAACTTAGTGCCTTAAAACAATAGCCAGTTCATTTTCTCATGATTCTGTGGATCAGCTTCCTTGGACTTTTTTCTGAACTTTTAGGCTCTGATATTCCAGAATCTTCTGTGATATTGTGATATATAGTTGGTCTTCATCTATGGCTCCTGCCTTACAGCTTCCTAAACCCTTAGAAGTTTCTAAGCAATTAGAGCAATGGTAACGTTTTTGTTAAAATATTTGGTATCTTGTCCTTAGTTCCTAGAAAAAAAAGTGCTTCAGAGCCATAAAGGTGAAATGGGTATCTTATTATTCATAACAAGCCCCTTTCAACCACAACTATGTTAATGAGGTGACTTTTGGGAATCCCCCAAAGATGGGGGGGCAAGGCTGGTTGCCAGGGGAACCAATGAGTAGAGGGTTGGAACTTTTAATCCCACGCCCATGACCTCTGGGGAGGAAAGAAGGGCTAGAAGCTGAACCAATCACCAATGGCCAATGATTTAATCAATTGTGCTGATGCAATGAGGCCTTCATAAAAACCCAGAAAGATGGGGTTCAGAGGGCTTCCAGGTTGGTAAACTAGAATACTTCATGTGCCCCCATACCAGGCCCCAAAAGCTGGGAGACAGAAGTTCCACTGTGCAGGTCCCTGCCCTGTGTATCTCTTCATCTGGCTATTGATTCCTATCCTATAATATCTTTTGTAATAAACTGATAATCTAGTGAGTTAACCAGTTTCTTGTGTTCTTATGAGCTGCTCTAGCAAATTAATCAAACCTAAAGATGGAAACAACCTAAATGTCCATCAACAGATGACTGGATAAAGAAGCTGTGGTGTGTATATATATATATATATATACACATACACATACACAATGGAGTACTACTCAGCCATAAAAAAGAATAAAATAATGCCATTTGCAGCAACATGGATGGACCTGGAGACTGTCATTTTAAGTGAAGTAAGACAGAAAAAGAAATAAAAATACCATATGATATCACTTATATGTGGAATCTAAAAAAAAAAAAAGACAAACGAAATTATCTATAGAACAGAAACAGATTCACAGACATAGAAAACAAACATTGTGACCAGTGGGGAAAGCGGGTGGGATGGGGTAAATTGGGAGTTCAAGATTTGCAGATGCTAACTAATATATATAAAGTAGATAAACAACGAGTTCATACTGTATAGCACCGGGAACTATATTCAATATCTTATAGTAACTTATGGTGAAAAGAATATGAAAATGAATATTTGTATGTTCATGTATGATTGAAGCATTGTGCTGTACACCAAAAATTGATACAACCTTGTAAACTGACTATACTTCCATAAGAATACATATATATACACAGAAAAAAAAAAACCTGAAGAGGGGTTTGTGGGGACCTCTGATTTATAGCCAGTTAGTCAGGATTAGGAAACAACCTGGATTTGTGATTGGTGGCTGAAGTCGGGGGCATTCTTGTGGGACTGAGCCCTTAGCCTGTAGAATTTGAAGCTATCTCCAGATAGATGGTATCAGAATTGAGCTGGATTGTACAACATACCCAGATGATGGTGAAGAGTTGCTGGTTGGTGTGGAGAAAACCATGCCCCCTCCTACTACCTAGGCTGTTGCCCCAGAATCATACCCCTGCGCCTCGCTCAAATGGAAAACAATTGCTCTTATCTAAGTTTCAGGAGAAAGCTGCAAAAAGGAAAATAAGAACTGGTTAGAACCAAGCAGGCCCAACATTTGACTTCCAGTAGATTGAGCCTCATTATATGCTCATGGTAATGCATCAGCTAAAAGGCACACTCCCCAGCACATGACAGTTGATGACTGCCATACAACAATCGGAAAAGCCCATACAAGGACTGAAAAGGAGTGTTGCATCAGTTCCAAGCCATACCCCTGTTCTCAGATAAGTCATGACTAGTCCTCCCACTCTTTCCAATTCCCTTCTTTTTACCTCAACTCTCTTACATATATGGTATCTCTGCCCAAACTGAGTTGAGAAGTTGATTTGCAAACTAGGTTCCTGGTTCTCCATTCTCTGGCCATTGAATAAAGCTTGTGCTGTTCCAGACTTAGCATCAGTTTTGTTATAAGCTTGTGAATCAGAGCAGAAAAAGAACCTCTCTGGCCAAGGTGTCTTGTCCTGGGATAGGACCCTGGTACAGGTCCAGTTGAGATTGATTCAGTAACACTCCCAAACAGTGGAATTGGTGATCAGAACCTAAACATTCCTTTGTCCCTTCAGCCCTGAGAACAGAACAGGAGCTGCTTCCTTCCATCATTACACGTTTCCTCGGGGTAATAAGGTCCTTACATTGCATGAGAAATGACATAATATTATTTGAAGATAGACTCTGATTAATTAAAGATGTATATTGTAAACTTTAGGGCAACCAGTAACATTTTTTGAGATCATTTTCCCATTTTAAAATTGGGTTTAAAATAACTTTTTGATGTCTTACAGAAGAATTTATATTCATTGAAGAGAGCTTTGAATCTATGCATGAGCATACTGAAAATAAGACATGCCATTTAGCAAGCTTATATTATAAGCACTGTGCTGAACCTCCATGCTTGCCCTACATCACAAAGATAGAAATAACAATAGCTAATGTTTACTGAGCTCCTGTTAGGTATCAGGCCTTCCTCCATATGTCATCTTATCTAATCCAGCAGCCTTTCTAAAGAGGGTGCTATTTTCAGCATACTCATTTTTCAATAAAGAAAATGAGGCATAGAGATGTTAAGTAACTTGCTTACCTGCACACAGCTTGCTGGTGGCACAATCAGTTTGGACTCTGGCAGTCAAAAGTTCCCAGCTTTTGCACTCAGTCCCCACCCTGTGAATTTCTGAATCCAGAGGCTCTGAGCAGAAGGAACCATTGCATCACAGTGTCTGTTGTTCTCTTTAAGTAAAATAGCTAAGTATCATCTTTGATGATTATTCTTTTCTTAATGCAACATGGCGGAAATTTCCCTCAGAGATACCGGAAGAATGAGAAATGGTTTATTTTCATGGACTCTATTTCTTTTTTAAGAAAGAACCGTTGATTTATTTATTTATTTAAAGTTAAAACGTAGTTAGTGGATGTATTGATAACTTTAAACATCCCTGCCCATTAAATTTTTTTAAATTTCTTTTTGTTTGTTTTTCTCTTCTTCTTCTACTCTGATGTTACTGCAAAATGAATTTGAAGATTGTCAAAATGACGTTCCACTTGTCTAATGTGTCCAAGAATCATTCAGAGTAAGGCAGGACATAGGGCCTCCTTTCTGTGGGAGGCAGAACAGAGATTTTCTGTGGTTCTTCCAGGGCGTCACAGAACTGCTTTCGACTGTCTTTGCAACTTACTGTCTCTGCGACTTTAATCAAATGACTTAACCTTTCTGCTCACCTCATCGTGCGTGGCACAGAGTAAAGGATCTGGGAGCAGAGAGACAAGAGACAACCTCATTTCCCAGCTTTGCACTGCTGTGGTCTTGGGCAAGTCCCTTCCCCTTGAGGGGCTTAATTTTGCCCGGCTGTAAAAGAAACGGTTTGGACCCAAGGCTCTCTGAGGTTTCTTCCGGCTCTGATGTGCTATGTTCTGTGCCTACCTCCAAGTTGTAAAGAATGGGCATTAAGGTGATGTTTCTTACAAAACCATTTTTTGTTCAAAACGAATAAATCCCAGGTGGAGGTTTCGAGGGGAAATTGAGGCCTGAAAGGATGTATAGGGAATAAGATGCGCTGCCATTTCTAGGAAGGAGATGGGCGTGGCAGGGCGCTGGGGTGGGTGTGCTAGCAGCCGAGCATCCTTGCAGGCGGAGAGGGCGTCTGAGGGCTACAGTGGAGGCCGAGGCCAGGGAGGACCTGGTCTGCAGCGGCTGCGCACTAGCGCGCCCAGCCGGTCTATTTGCGTGTCTCCGCCTCTGCGACGAGCTGGTTGGGCGAGCTGGCAAGGCGCCGCGCACCGATTGGCTAGGCGGCCCGCCGCTCAGGTCCAGGAGCGGACGGTTCCTACTGCGGCTGGGCACCGGCTTCGCTCCCCCGTTGGCCCGCGCTCCAGCTGCGCCCGGCCTGGCCCTGGCCCGGCTCGGCCCGGCCCTGGCCTCCAAGCGAAGGCGCCGCTGCCGCCTGGGCCGCTCCCAGGGCCATGAGGAGGCGGCGGCAGCCACTGCGGCCCGCGTCAAGGTGACCGGCCGGGACTGCGGCGGCAACGAGAGCAGGCGGTGAGAGGAGAGGCCGGCGGGGCGG